TCTCGGCACACACAACGCCTCCACCCGTGCAAAAAAAACACATGATCCTTCCAATCGTCCTGTAAAAGTGCCTACCGGCTGGAAGTACCTGTTTGGCACAAGGTGGACAAAGGCATGATCTTCTTTTTTGCACGAGTCGAGGCGCTATGTGTGCAGGTTCTGCACAAGTCACCTTGATCGAATTAAGAAGGAGTTGCTATACAGGTTGCATTCCAACCGCGAGAAAGAAGCCCCCAAACAACAAACAAACACCGCCCAAAAACAAAAACCAGAAAGAGGAAGCAACCTGTTATGCAAGTCGCGTGGCCTTGCAGGCATAGTGAAAAAGAGGTGAGACAGGGGCAATGAATTCAGCAATGCTCTCAGTATATCTTGTCCCTCAACACACTTGTTTGTGTATGAGTAAACTTGTGAGTAAACTTGTGAGTAATCTCGTTCAAGCAACAGGAGACATACCGAAATCTCCCTCATTTGGCTGGAAGCGTGGACAAGTATTGCTTTAATGCTCAGCAAGAGCCCTTGGCAAACATCAATGCGCAAGTCACTGGCAGGTCCTCTAGGGACAAAATTGGACCCCCTGTTTGTCAGATGGACTGCTTTACCGCACACGGTGACCAGGCTCACAGTAGTCATGATATGGCAACTAGGGAAGACCACTGGACTTGTGATCGGAAATTCCAAAATACCCGATGGCAAGACACAGTGCATTGCCACTATGCGAGAGCCACAGGAGTTGCATGTCCCGTTCCTCCCCCCAAGGGGGGAGGCAACAGAGGGAGCACATCATATCGGCCCCGACTCCAAAACGGCTCAGCAACGGGAGCGAGGCGAGACATGCTCCTGCGGACAGCAAAAGGTATGCATACTTCATTTCAGTGATACTGCAGTGATACTGCAGTCAGGTACCTGACATCTCCTTACAAACGCGGCCAGGCAAAGTTTGGCCGATACATGCAAGGCCCCGTGAACTACTCGAAAATAGGTGAGACAAGGTGAAACGCCGAATTCCTAAGTCTGTACACTGTACCCTTCCAGCACCACTACACGGGTAGCAGCCTGGGCACTGTCTAGCTACTCAGGCTAGCGAAAGCGAAGAGCAAAACGAAATGAACTGGCACTCTCAGGACCAACACACGGGTGCTAGTCTGAAAGGCTAGCAGGCAGGTGGTATACAGCATTTGCATGCACGGATCGATTGGTAGCGTGTGCCTGTTGTGTGTGTCTGTTGGTCCTATCGTTGTCTTGGTCCTGGTCACTGGCACTTTCCCAAGGGTATACCAAGGAGGTTCTTTGATGCGCAGCCTTCTGGTTGGGGTGCTCTAAAGAGGCCTCTGATATGAGCAGGGCCAGCACACGGGTGCCAGCTGAGGGCACTGCTGCCTGCATCTCTGAGACTTTGGCATCAATTATAGACTGCATAGGAGTCATCTACCCATTTGTCCTCATCCTTGGGAGTACGCGGCAACCAGCGAACCCACTGGGGCATATCAAGGTTGTCACACCTGAGAAAAGCATTGGCCCTAGAGTACGTTCCTCTCCAAGTCATACTTTTTCCAGCTCTTTGAAATTGATTGAGCTTCGTGCAGCCAGCGAAGGCACGCCTTGCAATATAGAGCAGCGTAGGTGGCACACTGACCTCAGTTAAGGAGGTGCACTTGAGAAAGGCTTCTTGCTCAATGACTCGCAATTTGTGTGGAAGCCTCAGGGATCGCAAGTGTTTACAGTGTGCAAAGGCAGAGCCCATGATTTCCGTAACCTCTGTACGTAAGAGATCTACCAACTGCAGTTGCAGGCAACGTTCGCAGGCCGCTGGTCCAATCCATGTGAAGTCTGGAGGCAGGGTCAGTGAACCCACAGAGCAGCAGTATCGCCAGCTGTATAGGCTGCCGGTAGACAAGCTCCATGTTGGCTGTGAGGTGGGTAAAGTCTATCGTATAGTGGTGAAAGAAGATGCAGAGGTATTTACGCTGCTTGGGGTCCTCTTAGAGTATGCAGCCCAGCCCAAAAAGAAGTCTAAACAAGGAGGAGAAGAAACCCTAGAAGAGTCAACGGCTCGGCATAGTAGCCCAAAGGCATGGGTCATAGCCGTGATCCCAGTCCCAGAGGCCTTTGCCCCACTGCCGACTCGTACTGAGCTTGGCGTGAACATCGGCGCCAAGTGGGGTCTCCCCTATTGTATGCGGGCACTTATCCCTCGCACCACACCGCTGCAACTCCTGAACTTGGCCGAAGTAGGCAACACAGCCTCAGCAGATCACCTCTTGCAAATGGCAACCATGCCGCTTGAACACAAAACCACTGCACTAGGGATACCCTATTCGTGTCCTGTAGCCTATCAATTTGATGGTGCTGAAGCACTCCAACAAAGCTTGTTCTCGCTGTTCGCGCTGTTAATAACGGGTGATGCCCCAAGGCATTGTCCGTCAGCCACTGTGCTAGGCATGAAGCTCTGCAAGGCAGCCCGCACTGATAGTGCCCATATCACGTCGGTAGCACTTTCCCTGGCAGCTGCCCTCCAAACAGGGCGGTCCACACTGGCCGTTGCAGGTGTCTTTGGTGCGGGGAAGACGCGATCCCTTACCTTTCTTCTGGTTTGGCTAGCTCTGACGACCAACCTCAAGATTGGAGTTGTCCACAAAGAAAACCCAGCTGGGCGTGCCATTACCAAGCTCTTAGGTTCGTTAGCCTTGGACAACGAACAAGCCAAATTTTTTGTAAGGGCTGTAGGGCGCGAAGAAAACATGGCCAATGCAGCCAGCACCAGGTATGACCTGGCCATGCAGTACTGCTCAGGGGCTATCCCCAAAGCCAAAGTTGTCATTGCAACAACTGGCTTGGTGTGGGAGCAAAAGGCACACGTCCATTCGGCGCTAAGGGTCCACATGGAGCAAATCGACATTTTGGTAGGAGAGGAAGCACAGCAAGACATGGACCTCAAGTCCGCTTTCGCCCCGGCCATTCCTCGCCAACCGTTTCTTCGACTACTCTTTGGAGACCCCAAACAAAGTCCCGGAGGCGTAGCCGACAACCTAAGAGAACATAGAGCACTGCTCCTCAAAGCTCCGATTGGCCTTCTGGCTGCGCATCGCTGGTTTATGCCACATGACTTGCCAGCAGTGATATGTAGCCTCCTGCATAGCAGTGCAGAGGTTCCCCTTGACATGCTCGCAAAAGATGCAGAAGAAGCAAGCCATGGCCGATTTGGACGCCAATGGCACACAGACGAGCATTGTCCCAGCCCCTCTCCGGTCGGAGCTGCGTTGCAAGCTGCGAAGCGACAAGCTACCAACGTCGTATTGTACTTACGCGCGCAGAAGTCACTCACTTATCTTACGAGGTGTGTATGTCGCGTGCACTGCACGAAGTCACCAAACACACACAGTCACAGAAAACTGAAACCGACTCTCCAGTGCTCGAAGACCTTTCTCACTCAAGCAGAAAGCGAAGTGTCTTGGTGTGTCTTCCTGGCTTTATTCTGTACGTGCCCTTGAGCTTGAGCCAAAGCGAAATTCAAAGCTTCGGCCTCTGCCGTGAGATGAACCTTCTCACCTCCAAAAACGGTCTTTCAAGTAAGTAGAAAAGCAAATGCTTCAAAGCAAAGCTTTAAACGGAGAAGTGGCTAGAAATGACGGCTTTCAAAGGCGTCATCAAGCATACAAAAGGCTGTTGAGTCAATGCTCACATTCGCATGCATATGGCATCGGTGTCGATACATATAGCGATCCAATCCACACATACAGAAATGCTATTTCCACACTCCCTCTTGGATTGGAATCGCGGTACAAAGACCTTCGGTCTTTTCTTTCCCTTTTTTTTCACTAGGCCTCAGACTGATCATCAAGATCTGTCAAGCCGAAGTCGATTCTCATATCATAGCTTCGTCCCTGGCTCACTGCATCCATCGCAGTGGTCCAAAGCTCTCTTACCAATTGTTCACCTCACGAAGGTTCGCACAAAGCCAGTGGTCTCAACCTTGCGCTCATCATACTTGATCCTCTTCAAGAACCTGGCAAAATCTGGCGCCTGGGTCTTTGCCTTTGAATCACCATACTTCCGCATGATGAAAAGACAATAGCGGCCCGCATCCTGGTCACCATTGATTGCCTTGAGGATCAAGCTCTCATAGCACATTTCATCTTTCTTGTACTTCTCCATCAACAATTTTGTAGTGCCCCACTGCTCTGCTGTCTTGCAATCCTCCGGAAGGGGAACACGAGTGTCCTGATCAGCATACATGCCTTTCAAGACTGCCAAGTCATCTGCGCTTCCTGCGATCAGCTCGAACTCTTCGTTCTCTTCAGAATCCTGATGAGTCACACCTTGGGAGCGCCTCTTGCTACCATCCGACATGGTGCCTGCCGAGACTTGCACCATCTCTTTACCACTTGCCTTTGCCAGGAGCCGCTGTAGCTCACGCTGCTCATGGTCTGACAAGGCCATGGCGTCACTCAACTGTCGAGGGTGCTTGGAAACTTAGTTTACTCAAGCAATCGAAGACCGAAACGTCTGATCCCAGCAAAAAAAACATCTCACCACACAGTCATCCAAAGTGTGATGTGTGTAAGTGCATGTTAGTGTGTCTTTGACAAACCATTCCTGTGCTCCGTGCTTCCCACGCTTTAAGCAAAGCGAAAGTCACCAAAAAAATCTGCCTTCAACGACCCTTCCTATCTCAAAGAGCTCGTGACGACAACATGTAGAGACAAACCCCGAAGCAGTCTTGATTTTTCACTGCGATTTGGTGTTTCGTGCTTCAAGGCTTCTCTTTAAGCACACAATGAGGAAGATTCTAAGGTCACTGCCGTTCCTTCGGAAAGACATGCAAACCAAAAACATGTGAAACATTTTCTTTCTCTCGCGGGTCTCGCCGTGCGTCCTTCACAGCGTTCAAGATCGCTCGTGCCAAGGTCGGTGTATACAGCGCTGTGCGATGAAAATTTATCTCACTCATTGCCGAATGTTCATGACATGAACAGCTCCCAAAACGGGTCCTGAGAGACTTACAGAATCCAGCCGAAGACGAGACAAACCTGAGTCGTTTCCCGATAGGAATTCCCCGCGGATTACACAGTCTGGTCTGGCACAAGTGTACAACGCACTCATGAACAAGTCCATGATTTTCCAATGTGCTCAACGTTAATTCCCTTTTCCAAATTCTGTTTGTCTTGGGAAGTTCAAAGCTCTTGCTGTCTCCAAGGTTCAATTAAGGTCCTACAGATCTCATGATTCGGGCCCACTCTTCTTCCAATTGCGCTGTTCGTTCCTCTGAGTCTTCTGCGTGAAAATTGAGTAAAGGAGATCCTGTTTTGCACGGTGTTGACACATGCACATGGACCCATTTTCCCAATCTTGCTTGTTCTTCTACGATCGCGTTCGTCTTCCGCAACGTGCTTTTGTATTCCATACCAGAAGAAATACCAACATAACGAATGTTCGATCGCACACAAGCTCTACAAATGTTTGAATCCGGGCTACAACACACTTCAACAATGAGGTATTCTGTATTGTTGCTCCCACAGGAATACATACTAAACATGACTGCCAGTTCCTCAAGAGGTCCTTCAAGCGGTGCCAACCCCAATGTCAGTCGATGTCTCATGAAATCCTGTGTGCTCAAACATTTTGTGAACAAGTCAGCAACGTTCTGCAAACCTGGTCGGTGCCTCAAGATGACTTCACCTGTCTCAAGTTTTGACCTCAACCATAGGAGTCGAATTTCTATGTGTCTTGAACGTTTAGGTATGTCAATCCCTTGTGGCAGCTGGATGGCGGATGCAGAATCAGTCTCAAGGACTATCGGAATGTTCTCTTGTTCACTTATCAACCCTATACCATGGAGAACGCGATGAAACAAGCGTACTAGCGCGATTGACTCCTGGGCGATTTGTTGAATGGCGTAAAGTTCCGACTCGCAACTTGAGAGTGATGTGGCTTGTTGTTGCTTTGCTGAGGACTTTACCTATCCATTCTCGAAGTACGTTACGCCACCTGTGATGCCGCGTCTACCGTTGAAACGATAGGGACCATGACTCGCGTCGCTGAAGCTATGTACCATGACCGAAAACTCCTCACGCCCATCGAAGTGAAGTGCTTCTTTGCTGTTGGATGGTTAACGAAGTACTACATTTACATCGCTGACTAGGAAACGCAATAGGCTCCTAAGTGCTTGCTCCGTCCCATGCATTGGATGGGCTTGTTGTGTACCTATCAGAGATAAAAACAGCTTCACATCATGACGAACTTGCGCTAGCCACAACAGTTTACCTAAGGCCTTGCGAAATTTGCGGTACGCTTCTGGCGACAAGGGTTGTTGAAAGGCGGGATTCGCCACCGTCTTTTCTAGGTGTGCAGCGATGTCTGGTACATTGGGCGATGCCTTGACCTCCTTCTTGAGCCCGTACTCCTCAAAGGTCGACAAAAGGTACTCGGGTCGAACCATGATGTACACTGCGCTCTCATAGGGATTGCGAATCAAGTCCCTTCCAATAAATGTGGTCTTACCACCACCTTCACGCGAAGGAAGGATCAACCCAGTGGACTTCATTGGCACAATGTCTCCGATTGTTTTCATGACCACTTGTTCTACGTCTTCCGACGACGAGATCAAGAGCAAATCGTCCACGTACGCGAGAAGCATTGCCTCTCCCAGATGTTGGCCATTCTCATCCACGACTGAAGTGATCGTGTTGCCTAAGAGTCGTAGCCAGTGCAAGGATGCGTCTCGCAATCCATTTAGGGCTCTCTGTAGCCTTAAATAAGCGACGGAACCATCAAGGTGACTGATGCTCAAAGGCAACTTCAAGATGACCAACTGGTTTTCCGGTAGTGGACTGTGCATGAACGCGTGCGCAATGTCCAGCGTCCACAATCTGAAGTCTTTCAACCCTGCCAAACACAACAGCAAATGCATACTCTCGTTCGAAGGTGTTGGGCTCGAGTGTCCCAATTGCCTAGCTGAGCCGCCATGGTTGAAATCTTTACCAACCATCCTACACCTTACACGTGTGTCACTCTTTCGCGCACAAACCCATCGCGAGGCTACGATGCGACTGCTGTTGTCTGTTCGTTTGATTGCTTCTACTTCAGCTTCGTGAAGCAAAACACCCGTTTTACAATGTTCTAGGTTTTCGACTTCCTCTTGCATACCAAGAAATCCAAGGTCCGCGTTCAAAAGCTCAAGAGTTGAATCGTCTATCACTTCATCAGGTCTCCATACCAAAACATGTCCTCGTCCCAATGCCATCCTCTTAGATTCATGTGTTGAACTGGTTGATTCAAAGCGTATTGAGTTGACCTCTCCATCAAAAACCTCCGGTGAAGTCACAAGTGATGAACGTCCTGAATCATCCTCATCTAAGCACAACGAAAGTGGCAAACAAGAACGTGCACAAAACCACTGAGCATTGTGCGCTGCTTTAGGCTTCCGATTCAGGAGCGTTACGGGGCTCCGATTTTGGTACGTCTCAAAAAGCAACATGTTTGTTTGTTTGATCTCTCTCTCTCAAGGTCTTCTATATCTTGGTCAGCCTCTCTCTTTCTTGCTCTTTGGTATTGCAAAGCTCGTTCTGTGGTTTGCGATGCCTTGGATTCCTCGTTCTCGACTTCCATGTTTTCTTGTGTAATCTCTCTCTCTTCTATTGTTTGCTCTCTCTTCTCAACACTGGGCGCAGACACATGTTGTTCGAACATCTGTGTATCTTGTTCTCTGTCCTCTGCTTCGCAAGATGTTCGAACAGGAGTTTGCACTGTGTCTGAAGTATGTGTTTCAGTCTCAATTCGGCTATCGTTCCAAGCTTTCTGCCTCCTTTTGCATTCAGCAGAGTGTCTGATACCGGGTGCTACCATACCTGAATCACAAGCCTTGCACCGCGGTGTTTTCTGAAATGTTGTTGGTTGTGATCTTGTTGCCGGAATCTCAACCCCGCTCGTTCCAATATTCTTCAAGCTTGGTTTGTCCTTCAACTGAGGTTTACGCAATGGCTGAGATTTCAACTTTCGCATCTCCTCTGCGCTCATCTCCACATCTACAGGGTCTGCAAAAGAAACAGTACGGCCAATCCCTCGTGAAGAAGCCGAAGAAGAAGGTGGTCTAACAACGTCTGTCTCCAAGTCTGTTCGTTGTCCTCTCAACTCTCTCTCTGATCTTCTATCTCCCTCTTGAAGTCTACGCTCACTCTCACTCAGGTGCTCACCATTGCCCTCAAGTTCTGGGACTAAACTAGGCTCCAATGCTACCAAAAGGTCCTGACAAAGGTCCCGACTCCATTGCATTGGATGGATAGGTCGAATGTTCCTTGCAAAAAACCGTACAAGTTCCTGTGCTCCATCGATTCGAACTCGTCCCTGAACAACAGGGCCATGAGACAATCCCACATGTACAAATGAAGCTTCGACCATACGTGTTTCATTCGGGGCCAGGAGCCCCCAGTAGCGTTCTTGCGTCTAGAGAATTCTGATTGCTGAAATTGCCGGCCTGGCTCCTCACTGCATCTGAGAGTTCGGCCAAAACGGTGCAACCAAACAGGGTCGTGGCTGGCTTTGTCAAACGCCTTCCACTGGAGCTCTCCAAAGGACTCAAATCAGTTCCCGGTCCCTTTCCAAAGTGATTGTGAGAAAGTGCAAGATACGTGCAAGCGTCCTGCAATGCTTGAAAAGAAAAGGAAACATCTAAACTCTTCTTATTCAAGTCTGCTCGAAGAACAGCCAAAGCCTCCTTGAACCGTTGCACGGTTCTCTCGGCCCCACCGTTACTCGCGTGCTGTTGTGGATTAGATCTACGAATCTGGAATGTGAACTGAGGTGATGCTTTCGAGATCATATCTCCCACTGCTTTCTCCGCATCTGTGTGCAAAACGACTGACGTGTTTTCTGAAGACAACCCAAAATGATGTAGCCACGAAGAAATCTGTGCTTGAACCCCCGCTTGATTGTCAGACACAACTGTGTAACCAACGCAACCAGTAGCCAGTTCATTCATGACCAAAATCTTCGCATTCCCCTCGACGTCCGAAAACTCAATCTGCTCTCCAACACGCTTCAAGAAGCAAAAGTCTGCTTGAATCTCTGTTTCAAGACCACGTTTCGTTCTCCGTCTATGTTGAAAAACAGAGTGACCACGGACGCATTCGATGCATTGTGGATGAAATGGTGTGTGTCCCTGTGCGCGATGCTGCTCAAGTTCAGGCTCAGTTGCACGCGTCAATGGGCTCAAACCAAGTGCACATCCATCCGCAACACCTGAGACAAACCCTAGGTCGTCATGCTCAGAACTGTGCATATCGTGAACTGGAAGGAGGCGCACCCATGGACAACCTGCAAAGTACGCAGTATCACACAAGCATTCACCTGTTGCCTCATTTTCAAGCCAAAAACCTTGTGAATCTTGGTGAAAGATCCAACCCGATTTACACAGCAGAGTTGCGCTAATGATGTTATGCCGTACGTCACCGACTAGGCATTTCAACTTAGCTCTTTTCCAGCTGTTCTGCGACCCATTTCGAAATTCCTCAAGCGTTGGTCCGATTTTTGGATTTTCGTGGTCGGGCGCCGTCTTTGGTTGATGCAGCAACATCCAAACAAAAAGCTCCACAGTTCCCTTCATGCGTACAGCACTGCCGTTAGCGGCACGATACCTGTCCTCACCTGCCTCTGGTCTATAACACGCTCCATACGCTCGCACACACGATTCAGCCAAAACCGTGGCACTCGCTCCACTGTCAAGCAACCACCAGGACGAGTCTTCATGAAGGAACTCTGACAACAAAGGACCTATGGTAGGCGCCCACCTGGAGAATTCAAGCTCGCTCGAACAGGTATCATGAACTGAACCATTCAAAAAGGTGTTGATGCCAGTTCTCAACAACGATACCCTAGCGCAAACAGGTGACACCAAAGAAGACGCAGCTGACTCATCGTACACACCCTGTGCACTGGCAAGTGGACATGAGTTGCGCGCGCAATGAAAAGCTTCAGCATGCTGTGCAACACTCCTAAAAGGCTGTGCGAAGCTCTCAGGATGCAACACTGCTGACAACTGCTCAAGTTTCTCACGTTTTGTTTCCGTTCCAACGTCTAATCCGACAGCACATGAATCTGCTAAATGCAAAGCACAACCAACATCACAGGGTACTGAAAAATGCGAATCACACTCCAAAACCGTCAGACAAGAACCGCAATCGAAAGATCCACAACAGAAATCATCACAAACAGCTAAACAAGGTGCCAAAATCAAACTACCAACCTGTTGATCCTCATCATTTTTGTCCTCCTTCGTTTCTGAGGCCCCCCATTGTTCAACTCCTTGCTGCCCATTCCAATAGCTTGACTGCCACTCACCTGATCCACCAGGGGCATCCCACATCTGTGACACTTCCCAGTCATACCATCCATCATCATCATACCACCACTCATCATGATGGTCCCAATCATCGTGCATCTCATTCATTTTTCCTTTGTTCTTGCCTTTACCTTTGCTACCTTTCGAACCTGACCCGGACTTGCCCTTTCCGTTCGAACCTTTCTTACTCTTCCCTTTGTTCCATTGATCACCTTTGATCACACCTTTTCCTGTGCCACCTTTGGTCTTTTGGTCACAATTCAGGCTGACATGTCCATACTTGTTGCATCGAAAGCACTTCAATTTCGACACATCTACAGTACAATCTTTTGTATCATGCTTCTTACTCCCACACTTACTACACTTGCGCGCACTCATGGAGTCAACATGGTCCCAAGGTCCGTCCCATTCCGTGTTGTCCCAAGTGTCCATTGCATACCATTCAATTCCAACCTGGGAAACCTTTCCTGTTGCTTTGCCTGAACCTCCCATTGCTTCACTGAAAAGACGCTGTTGTTCTCCCCAACGCCTTGCTGCCTGCCTATACGCCGTGTACGACTCGCCACTAGCATGATGCAAAACGAACTGACGAACGGCTTCCGGCAAAATTCGTAAGAGGGTTACCAACAAATCAGGTTCTGGAAGTCCTAACCATTTTGATCCACATGACTGGGAAGTGTTGCAACAATTTTGGCAAATCTTGCTGCTTCAAAGTCAATCCGACGAATGACATCCGAAACCACCGTGGTTGGCGACGTCTCTGCTGCGGACAACGAAAACGTTCGTGATGCCAAACCTGCTCCCATCGACAACGCTTCCGACCGCGTACGTAAACTATACTCCAATGTAAGCTGTCTAAGAAGTTCGTAGCCATTCGCTCCTTGAGAGGCTTGTGTTGCACTGAAACTTCCGCCCGCTTCTTGAAGACTAATGCCTGCAAGAAAAACATTTGAGCATACTGGTCCTTGCGTGTTCTGTGAACGCCGCCCGTAGTACTGCCACCAAACGCGTTGCTCTTGCCTTCTGCTGCTGGAAAGACTGCCAAGAAACAACCGCTGGCCATCTTGATGCAGTGCACGCGACATACACACCTCGTAAGATAAGTAAGTGACTTCCGCGACGTTGGTAGCTTGTCGCTTAGCATGGTCGCGAGCCCTGTGTGGGCTGCAAGACTTCGTTGTTGCGCAATGGATCCAGGTCAAGGTGAGCAACAAGGCGTGCCATTGTCGCGCTGGTTGTTGTCAGAATCCCAGTTGTTGTCCGAATCCCAGTTGCTGTCAGCAGTCTGGTTGTTGTCCGAACCGTGGTTATGGTCTGCAACCCAGTTGGCATCAGAATCACGGGCAGAATCAAATGGTTCCAAGTTGGGGGTATGACGCCTCAGGCAGCAGCGATCCAACAAGTGGTTTCGTTGGTTGAATCGCTTAGAGCCAATGAGATTCGCGTTCTTCATCAGATTTTGGGAGAAAGACCGAATTCCACGGCGAGAATGGTTCCTGAGTTGTTTGGGGATCGGTCGGGTGAACGTATGGCACCACAGACAAGTTTTGTGCCCGACAGCCAAGATCTTAGTTTGCCAGGTGTGGCGCGAGCAGAGTTACAGAACCAAAATTCAAACCGTTCTTTAGATGTCTTTTTTCAAAATCTGAAAAATGGCTAGCACCGGCGCTTAGAAGGGCCCTACCTGCCTGGTGGTACGGTCTTGCATAACCTTGTCTATGGTTACGCAGCTGATGCTTTGCTTGAGCCAGAGTGGCTGGTCATAACAGATGGGCAGCAGCCAGGACGTTGGAGACTTCTCCACAATAGCTCTGGCCCAGGGCAACGATGTAGCGTAGGAAGCTCCCTGCGCTATCAACCAACGCCAAGCACACGTGAACAGCGCAGTGCACAGGATTATACCTTTGAAGCACTGCACCGGGTGTACTTCTACGACGCATGGAGAGTGCAGCCAGTCCTAGATGCCCCTGAATCCGACCTTGTCCTGCCACCGAAACCAGGCCTTTTAGAGCATGGCTGTTACTGGCCTCGGCCAAATTTGACACCTGAGGTCCTCTCTGTCTCTGACCGTGACCCAGAAAAAGAGGAACAAGAAGTGCAAGAGGGACAATCGCTGTCCTCCCTTGCTGTGACAGATGCTGCAATGGCTGAAGAAGACGCAAATGAAGCAGTCTCAATCCACAGCTCCTCCTCCGAGTCGCCCACCATCCCGAGCACAGAGCAACCGGAGGATGATGACGCACACATGGCAGATGATGCTAGTGCTAGCACCTCCTCTGCAGAAGAAGAGGGTGATTGCCTTAGCAATCGTCCGGCCTTTCCTGACGCAAGTCCCGCGCAAGATGAAATGCTGGAGGCAGAAGATGATGCAGGGAGCGAGCTACCCCCACAGGACGTGGACCCCCCAAGTAGCAGCCCCACATCACCCTCCTCTGAGTCCCCAATCAAACGAAGACCGGGGTCCAAGGCTAGTGTCGGGCGAGCTCAGTCCAAGAAGTTACGGAAATCACTTGCTCCAACATCCAGGCAACCACTCGGCAGCATTCCTGAACATGAGCAACCACCGGCCACACTGGCAGACCTGGCCAGTCGGAATGCTCAAAATCCGGTAGCTCCCGCTTGCAGGAACCCTAAGACACCACCTGATCACCCTGGATCGGCGCAAGAGCGCCCACATGCTATGACTGAAATAGACATTGCCAGTGATCAAGAGAATGCAGAGCGTGGAGGCACGGCCGACACTGATCTCCAATTGGAATCCGAGCAGAGAGCCATGCAGGCCCTATACGACTATCAAAATGCGGCTCGAACGGCCAGAGAAACTGCCAGGCAAAGGGCGCCGCTCCCCGCATTACAGATCTATAGTGACCTGCCTAGGGAATGGCCGATGGCGAGGCTTGCTATCTCCAGCAAGCAAATTAATCGTCTCGTCCGTACATTCCTCTGGAGGAGGGTTACAGAACAAGCACTCCGAGGCTCCTCCTTTGTTAACATTCCAGATGAAATCAACCAGGCCTATATAGGAGACCTTCTCCGTATAAGTGAAGCCTTTGCTGCCCCCCTGTCCAACCTTTTCGCTTTTGTGAAGAGTGGGCATCCAGCATGCCCCTTTATCACTCACAAACAGCTCGCCCTCTATGCAAGCCCCCGATTCTGGCAGTATGGCCTCCTTGCTTTCATCGCAAGGTGCTGTTCCTTTGATAATCAACACAG